TGGAAGCTAACATCATGTCTCAGCAGTGAACAGAGATGTGTCTGTGGACTGACGTGAAAATGCTGCAGTGTAAATCCACCACTGGACAACTTGAAAACAGGGGATAAAACATGACCAGAAACCAGAATCTCAAATAACACTGAATTTAAAAGCAATCAAAAGCTTTAGCGACTTGTAAGCGTATTTTGTATAAATTTGTGATGTATAAAATTTGTCTTTGTCTCAATAAAAGAGTGATGAATAAAATGTTATATTTACTTTAAATACTATTTCCATGGTGCAATGTTCAATTTATGAAATACAATTTCCAAATAATGTTAACATTGCTATTAGTTGATTTTGCATAAAACCAAATGAAAATGATCGGTTTATTTAATTTAACGGGGCACATGAGATACAATACATGGGAATGGGACGCCCCCTAAAGTTGTAATTCCTACGACGTCGATGCAGCTTAGATAAGGCTTCCCTGGGTTATATAATAATTATAGAAAAACTACTCTGTCCGCTTATTTGGTGTTTAATTTTATTTTATTACAATAAACCTGATTATTTTTATTACAGGGCTGGCAAACAGAGGGCAGCATACTGTTTTTAAATTTCAGACAAAATTTGTCCTGTACGGCAGCCCGTACTTGCCGGTTAGTGGAGGTCAGGAAGGCTCACGTCCACTGCGAAATGTGAAGAAAGCGCCAAAAGGAGTCGTATTAACGTGTAACTATTGAAAATGTGTAGTTTATAATTAAAAAACACGGAAATACTGCTGTGCTCAAAAATCGCATAATTCATATAAAGCGTTTAGGAAAGACCGAGGAGAACTCGACAAGTGTCCGTTTTGTCCTACAAAGACACCGGGAGTTTGACAGCGACAGGACGTTAGTGCGCAGGCCCGTTCGTTGGAGCTCCGAGGAGGACAGATACTACATGCTACAATAAAAAATTGCTCTTTGTAGAGACAACCGACCTCCGACATGAGGAAAGACGTGAGGATACTGCTCGTTGGGGAACGTAAGTTGAACATACTTCAAGTAAGAGGAAATGGTATGCTTATGCAAATACGTTAGCATGAGAAGGACGCAGCTAATGCTACTGCTATCAGACAGACAGACAAACTATCCGAATGTTCACCGCAGCCAGATATTTTAGTAGTCTTTAAACAGTATTATATTCCACTGTTATCAACTCGATCTACATCTCGATCTTTGGAGCAGTTGGTCATACGTGTCCTCGACACCCTGCTCTACATCGCCTGATATCTGATAGCTAACCTCTGTCTGTTCAGTGTTTCCATGTGCCGGCACATCCAAACACTGCCAACTGCTTTTCATGTCGCTTGGTGTGAAAACGACGCGTTATTTCCCTATTTAAATAAAATGAACAGTGACCAAAAAGTAAAGCTTTAGTTGTAGTTGTTGAGTAATGTATAGGAATGAGTACAATTAAGGCTGCAACAAAAATATCCGGTTACTTATTCGACTACTAGGTTCCCGTTTTTTGACAGCCGTTTTTGGGTGATTTAAAAAAAGTTAAGGTTATATTCTGTGAATATTTCTATATAACTTGCCCATAATATTGGGTCCTGTAAGTAGGAAGTACAACGTGTTTTTTTGTTTTTGTTTTTGTTTTTCAATTGGTTGATTCCCCTTTTAACTTCATATTCTAACCTCATATATATATATATATTTACATTTGACTGTATATTTTTAAAATAATTAATATCTGAATATATGTTAATATGAATATATGCAGCAAACGCCTCCTTTTCTTGCTGCTTTGGAAATTATTTTTATGCCACATGGTAACCGGATTTTCCTCTGTTTTTCATTTTTTGTATGTACAGCAAAAGTGGGGAAAACATCATTGATCATGTCGCTGGTCAGTGAAGAATTTCCTGATGAGGTATGAATCACTTTAATATCACACTGACATAATGTATGCCCCGCCCCCAGTCATTACCTGATTAAATTGCTAAAATACATAGCAAAATGTCGCTTTAGTGCACATTTTATTGCCAAAGTGTTTGTCTGCTAAAAACATCAGGACAAAGTAAAACATGTCTTGCATAACCATTTACACTGTGTACTTTAGTACTTTGATTTGTGCTTGAACTGCTAAGATTTCCTGAGTAGAGTGTCTGTGATACAGCTTGGAAATCAAGATGAGTACTTTAGTACTTTGATTTGTGCTTGAGCTGCTAAGATTTCCTGAGTATGCTCAGAAATAAGGTCTACACATTCATCTAGATTGTTCTACGGTGCTGTACCTGGTACTATTGTTCTGTACTGTTCCAGGTTCCCTTACGAGCTGAAGAGATCACCATCCCAGCTGATGTGACACCAGAGAGGGTGCCCACTCACATTGTGGATTATTCTGGTATTCACTCCTCACCACAAACATACACACTGTCTGTCTGGCACAAATAGAAAGCTAAATTAACGCACACTTAGATAAAGCAATTAATTATAAGTAAAACCCAAGCCCAATAAGTGCAAACATGATTATTGATTACCATCTTTATATAATGGTGATGCATTGATATTATAATTATTATTGACAGAACCACAACATCAATACCTGTTTTATTATTTATGTCCTAGAAGCAGAACAGTCAGAAGAGCAACTATATCAAGAAATATCCAAGGTTGGTTTAATGCAGTTATTTATTTTATCTATTGAGGGAAA